TATTTATTTATTTTGTGTGTGTGTGTGTGGCCAGCTCAGCCCACCAGGGGGCGGGGCTGGCTGGCATGTGGTGCTGGGGGATTGAACCGCAGTCCCTGTGCTTTGCATAGCTTGTTCTAAGTAGGTGCTTTAGACCACTGAGCCATCTCACCAGCCCATTGAGCCCATTTTAAAAATAAAAGTGTATAATATATGTATTTCACCCCTAAAATTATGGTTGAATAGAGACATTGTAGAGAGACAAACTGAGGATGTTTATCTCCATCGACTTCCCATTAAGGAAATCCAAGTGTCCTTGGAGCAAGAGGGAAATGGCCCTGTGGGAGTTCGGGAATGCAGGTAGTACACGCAGGGCAGCATCTGTCACTTGACTGAACAGAACTGGGAGTACTCACAGGGTTTAGAACACAGCAAGGGGACAAGACTGTGACGGCCCCAGGTGGATATTGTGAGTGGCAAGGTCCTGTGTCCTGAGACCTGGGCCACAAAGATGACACCTAGTATCCTCTGAGGCTCACAGATTGTGCAGGCAGAATGACATTAAGGATCTGAGATGAGATCATCCTGGATTATCCACCGACAGAAATGTCACCACTGTGTGCTCCTGAGGAGATGGCGAGCAGTGTGCTACCACAAGGAGGCTGAGGTGACAGAAATCTGCTCTTGAGTCTCACCTGAGATCAGGCAGACTGTGACTATCCTGAATGGTGGAAAGGTGGAGTGTCCAAGCAAGGACAGTGGCCCCATAAGATGCAGGGATGAGGGCTTTGGGTTTGTATTTGGGTCTCTGGTGTGAAGGGACAGGGTCTGCTGTACCCTCTGTTGGACAGTTGCCTGGAGCTGGGCTGAGTGCTGTATGGAATGGTCTAGCAAGGGGTGGAAGGCAGGCCCTTCCTGCAGCTAGGAAGCCCTGTTGCTATTCACCTCTTGGGCCCCAAGGGGCTCCGAGCGAGCACCAGGGGCAGGGCTGACTCCTCTGGCGCCTTGGCCTCTGACTGAGGGACAGGACAGGTGAGACATCCAGAGGCCAGGCCTTTACTTCCTGTGCTGCGTGAAGGCCTGTGTGTAGGTGGGGAGGGTTAGGCCGGTGTCAGTGAGGATCTCTGGCTCCAGTCAGGCTCGGGTGTCAGACCTGGGTGCTGCTGAAGGCCATGATGAGGCCCCGGAGCAGTTTTCCTGCATCTGGTGTCTGCCTGGGGCTCAGATACCAGGAGGGGGCTGCTGAAGCCACCATAGTGGGGTGCCTGGACACTGAGAAGGACACCTGTTGATTCAGATTTGGTAAATGAGGGTTGTGCTGCCACCAGAGCCCAAAAGTGTCAAACAAGGGGACTTGGAGTGAATGTGGCAAGCAGGTGTGTGTGTGTGTGTGTGTGTGTGTGTGTGAGAGAGAGAGAGAGAGAGAGAGAGAGAGAGAGAGAGAGAGATCCTGGCTTTAAGGTCTTGGATGTCAAGTCACAACCTCTCTGCCTGCACAGACCACGTGTGTCAGACAGGGTCCCTGGGCAGTCCCCAAAGGAGTGCCAACCCTCAGCCCCCTGGCCATGGCAGGGTGTGCTGGTGCCCAGGAGAAGAGTACTCACCTGCGGCTGCTGTGGGCACAGTGACCCTGTCCCGCTGGGCTTTGGGCCAAGGAGATGGGACTACCATCCAGCCTCATCATCCACCAGGAGACTATGAGGCGCCCTTTCACTTTCCAGGTAAAAGAACAGGCGAAACCGCTTTTGTGTTCAGGATATTTAACCCAGAGCTGGTACAGGTGAGACAAGTAAGTGCCCTGCCACTGAGTGACAACCCAGCCTCTCTGTCTTTGAGATGCTCTCGCTGAGTTCCCTAGGCTGGCCTCAAGCTCATGACCCTTCTGCCTCAGTCTCCAGAGTAGCTGGGATTAGAAGTGAGCACCACCATACCTGGCCAAATGGGGCTTTGGCTATCAGAGGAAAGGGGAATGCTGAGCCTGCCAGCTGCCTCCAGGAGCCCCTGTTCTGCATGGCCACCCCCCTAAAATCCTGTTTCCTTGTTAAGTAATGTTTAGCTTCTACCTCTAGGCAGGCAAACAGTCCCCATCCTGTTCTGACTTTATTCACTGTGTGTTGTTACTTTCTGCTCTTTCTGCTCTGGCCTTTGGAGCCTTATCCTGGTCAGATCACAAGCCAACAAAGAGAGCCTCAGGCATCTCCTTTACCAAATTCCTTTACCAAAGTCCTGGACCATGGGGCACAGGAGTCTGCCCTCCAGCCTGCACCCCATGCCATCAGCCCAGACTCCCCAGCAGGAGCTTGGCCTGCCCCACTCCCACCTCTCCTGCCCTTCCCAACTTAGGACACCAAAGTACACCTCCCCTTGTGGCAGCACTCTGCCCCTGAGTACACCTGGCTACACCCCCGGGACACACTTCAGAACAAAGTGCTGGCTACAGGTGGGGATGGAAGAGGCTGGGGACAGAGCATGACCTGAGGGAGCAGGTCCCAGGGCACCTTGAATGTGTTCTCAAGTCTTCAAAGGTGAAGATAGGGGCTGGTGAGATGGCTCAGTGGTCTAAAGCACCTACTTAGAACAAACAAGCTTAGCAAAGCACAGGGACCGCGGTTCAATCCCCAGCACCACATGCCAGCCAGCCCTGCCCCCTGGTGGGCTGAGCTGGCCACACACACACACACACACACACACACACACACAAATAAAAAATTAAAAAAAAAAAAAAACAAAGGTGAAGATAGAGGGACAAAGGGTGGGGACACAGCAGGGAGACTTTGGTCACATGGATACATAGTTCTGCAAAACTTGCCAGGGCACCGTGGCCATGTGGACGGTGGGTGGTGGTCACACTGGCCCCGTGTGGACGGTGGGTGGTGGTCACACTGGCCCCGTGTGGACGGTGGGTGGTGGTCACACTGGCCCCGTGTGGACGGTGGGTGGTGGTCACACTGGCCCCAGGCTGCAGCTTCCTCTCCAGTGCCTGGTGCAGGGGGAGAGATGGCAGAGGCTGGCTGTGTCCTCTGGGGCTTGGTGGAGTCTAGTTGGGTCCTTCCCAGCTACTTCCTGTTCCAGTTGGGCAAAAGCCAGACATCCTGGAGTAGGAAACTGCTTACGGGAACAAGGAGGAGCGAATCACAGGCCCTGCGGGAACAGGACTGGGATCTTGGGGAGCAGCCATGTTACAGTGGTGCACAGGGGTGTGTGGAAGAGTGACCAGGAAGCCTGGGTGTCTGGAGCTGCCTGTTGCCGGGTGAGTCAGCAGGTGCAGCTGTTGGAGGAGGACCTTCCTAAATAGGCTGGGGAAGGGAACATCATGATCTTCTCTTTTGGAAAATGGTGTTTCAGCATTGCTATGAGATTAAAAAAAGTAGATGAAAAACTCTCATGTGTAGCATGCAGTCATGAATAAAAGCCATAGTAATATCTGGTTGATGCTTGTTTATATTTTAAAGAATGTATAATTTGCTATGATTCTTTTCTTTTATCCTGAATATGTCCTAATGATCTAAGTATCCCAGTTACTCTGCTTTTTTTCTCGAGGAGGCCTTCCAGGCTGGGTTGGACTCTGCATGTGCTGACCTGATCACCTGCCTGTGTCCCTGCTGTTGGTGGAAGTGGGACTGAAGCTCCCTGTACCACAGCCCAGAACTTCTGGGTGGCTCTGAGCTGCAGGAGTGAGAGGAGCTGCGCTGTCCTAGGACTCAGGCTCGGCTGCCCTGTGCACGAGGGAAAGGTGTGTCACCACTAGAGGGTGTGGAGGAGGACTGTGCTGGATGGATGATGGCCCTGCTGCGGGCAGACTGGACCTCCTTTGGAACTGGCCTAGCTCTGCACACACCTGTATGTGGCCCACAGGGGATTCACAAGGTGCTTCCATAGGCCCTCAGGATGTGCTCAGAGCAGGATGTGCTCAGAGCTGGGGTGGAACAAACCATGTGCAGCTTATTATTTCTGCTCATGCTGTGAACCAGTGTCCTTGTTAAAGTTTCTTTCTTTTTTATTTATGTTTTTGGTACTAAGGATCAAACACACAGCCTTCAAACTGAGTGACATCCCCAGAACTTATTTTTTGAGACAGGGATTCCACTAAATCTTCAAATTGTTTAGGCTGCTCTCTAATTTGTGGTCCTCCTCACTCAATCTCCCACAGTTCTGGGGTGTGCCACCACATCTGGCTCCAGGTTTTCTAGTGCTACTCTGGCTACACTTCCGAGCCCCTGTTGGTGACAGAAGTGGTGCAGGTGTTGTCTCCTGTCCCTACCACCAGGCTGCTGCAGTGTGCCTTATGGAAAAGAGGCAAGTGCCAGGAGCACGTCCTCCCAGCTTGAGCAGAAGGAACGAACCCACAGCGCACATACATCCATTGAGGTGTCCTTCCACGGAAACAGGAGGCACAGTTTTAAAGTCAATCAGAGGTCAAAACTGAAACCAGGCTGGTGGGATCCAGCTGCCTTCCCTGAGCAGCAGCTCCAAGTCCCAGAGTTCAGCGTCAGCAGTCAGTGAGTTCTGTGCAGGCCAGAACTGCCGCAGTAACAAGTGTTGAGAATCAGTGCAGCTGCCCAGAGAGCCACCTACAGCACAGCTAAAGAACATGTACAGCTTGGTAAGAACCAGAAGCTTGACAATCAAGGTATGTAATAGCTCAACACTGATCACAACAGCTGAGGCTAGTGACACCCCCAGGACACCTTAGGCAAGGCACTGGTGTCCACACATAGCAGTCATGCCTGTGCAGTTTAACTTGCAGTGGCCCTGGCACTGGAGAGCTCCGATGAAACGCTGGAAGGAGCTATCCCCGTGCTGTGCTCCACCCGTGCTGGTTTCCTGTGGCAGGTTGGCTACTTCAAACAACAGAAATACATCATCTCTGTCCTGGAGGCTGGGAGCCAAGATCAAAGCGTCATCTGCTGGATCCCTCCTGGGCTGAGAGGAAGGCTCTGTGCTGGGCCTTCTCTAGCACCTGGTGGTGCTGGCTGTCCTTGTGGAGGTCGAGTGAGGCCTGGCAAGCCTCACTCCACCTCCACCTTCACACCGTACTGTCCCTGCGCATGTCCCTTTTTATGACTACAGCCATCCTGTTGGACAAGAGTCACTGTATAAGCTTCATTTTAATTTTTTGTTCATTTATTTCTTGATTTTTTTGGGGGGGAGGGGAGGAGACAAGGACTTGCTATGTAGCCCAAGCTGGCCTTGAACTCATGATAATCCTCCTCCTTCAGCCTCTTGCGTGCTAGGATTACATGTGTGCACCACCATGCCTGTCAGGACCTCATTTTAGATTATCTCTGTAAGCTCTAGATTCCAATTAAAATCACATTTTGAAGTATAGGGAGGGACCTCTGATGAAATTGGGGGACATGATATTCCCTCAAAGAGCATAAAGAGAGGTAGCCCCTCATCAGAACCTGACTATCCCTGGCACTATCAGAAATGAAACCTGCTGTGTAGACTGCCCAGGCTGGGTCTCAACTCTGGGAGGGAACTAGGGAGAAAAGGGTTCAGAGTCCTGCTGGTCACCAGCCTCCAGGAGCCCCAGAAGAGGTGATAATCCTTGCTTGTGGGAGCTGTGTTGGGCAGGTGTCTACAGGCCTGCTGAACTGTTGCCTACTCTGGAAGACATCTGGGGAATTCGGGGGAGAGCTTGATGGAAGGATCCTTTATTTGTAGGCCACTTTAATTAACATGCTGTATCAGGAAATGGAAAGTTCTGGCTGTGGGTTTTCTATGATACTATGTCCCCCATGCAGTCTGCTGGCTCCTGACTTGTCCTTGGGTGCTGATTTTTCTTGAAATCAGTGCATTGTGGCTGTGGGCACTTTGCCCAGGTCACTGCCCTTCCAGGCGAAGGCTGTCACTCAGATGGTGAAGGTACAGGGACACTGAGGAGACAAGGACAGAGAGGGCCCCCAGCCAGAGGCAGAGCAAGGGAAGGGCAAGCACCTTACTGACTGCCACTGGGAGCTGGGCTGAGCGACAGCTTGGAGGAGGTGCCTGACTTTCCTGAAACTGTGCCAGGACTCTCCCGGGCAGGCTCCATCTCAGCTCCCCAGCCACTTGATACTGGCTCCATGTCCACAGCCAGGGTGTTTCTGGGCTCATTTATCCAACAGTTGACATCAACCAGTCCAGCTGCAGCCCTAGGACACACTACAGGGCCAGTGCAGAGGGCACCCAAGAGCCCCTCCCATCTTTTCCTACGCATGGCCAGCAGCCTGGCTTCTGAGCACAGTCCCCCAAGAACAGGTGGCCTGTCCCCTGTTGGGGTCCAACTGTAGCAGCACTGCCACAGGGACATCACTCTGCTTTTCCTGGTCTTTCTGGTCTCTTGGGACTTCTCGCTGTGCTGTGCTGCCAAGTGTGAGCACCTCAAAGGTAAGGGACCAACAGGGTCTTCACCAGGCTACCCCAGCTCTGATCCCTGGCCGTGGACTAGGAATCCCATAGCATGGACCCCAGAGTGGTGCTGGCAACAGAGACAGGGAGACTGGGTAGACACGAACCCCTAGACGAGGGTTAAAGTGTAAGCAGTGGGGCTGCCTCACCACTGCCCAACTCTAGTTGCGGCTGTGGTGAGGGCGGGCCTTTCTTACCAGCTAGTGTTCCCATGTGGGGACAGCACAGTTCCACTGGCCTCCAGCCTGCGATGTGGAGAGCATGGAAACAGTCACCGCTCTTCTGTCCTGGGCCCTCATCCTTGCTGGGACTCCCAGTCAGTGCCACTTCTTGCAGAATCCCGTCCTGCGTGGGTGGGCGGCGTGGGTCTGCGGAGCCGCGGGCCTCGGCATAGCAAGAGCAAAATCACCGTGCCCGGTGTCTCGCGGCCGCGCAGAAATCTAGTCCTTGTTGGGCCCGCAGGAGGGGGCACGACGACCCGCTCCCTCCTGGCCGGGAGGGAGCATCACGCCCGAGCTCTGTAGGCCCCGCCCCCTCTCCTCGAGTCTCCGCCCCTCGTGCCCCGCCCCTTACGCACTCAGAACCCATCTCCCAGCAGTTAGTCCCCGGCGGCTTTAACCTTGCAGAACCCCCTCTTCCCCCCGCAAGCTCCGCCCAGAGCAGGCCCCGCCCATCTCCCGGTAGTCCCCACCCTCCGACGGCCCCGCCCACGATCTGAGCCCGCCCCTGCCCTGACCCCGCCTTCCGCGCGTGCGCACTGAGCCGCATAGTCGGAAGCTCGGCGCCCGCGGATCCCGGCTGCTGTCCTCGGCGCGGACCCGGCTGCCTGCCCAACGCCGGGCTCGGGCCGCGGGGCCGGAGATGGCGGCGGCGGCCGAGCCCG